TAAATTATTACCCTTATTTTTAAATCATTATGTAAGTAGAAAAAATAGAAATCCGAATAAGAGCAAAAATCAACGATTAGTGACTCTAATGATTACAATCTTCATAAATGCATAGTAATATTTTTACTCATTTCAAATTGATTAATTAGTAGCAATTATACTACAAAGTATACTTGATAAACATTTTTATTATGAAGCAATTATAAGTAATATTCAACTATACTATAGATTAGATATCTAGTATAAAATATAGTCATCATTTGTAAATTACCAAACGCAGGAATTTCAAATAAAAGTATAATGCTAATTTATACTCATATATTTTATACTATATATAGCCATGTAATAATACGACTTCGATTGGAAAAAACGAACACGAAATATATGGTACTATATCGATATATTTCAGTTTAGTGTACCTATCGGTCACGGACAAGTCGGTATGACGGTATACCTAACTTTATGAAATAATGAACAAATTGACCTAAATTGGATGTAGCATTTAGCAACCTTTAAGGGTTGAAAAAGAAGTTAAAACACCTCTAACTCTCAAGGAATCTATTGGTAAAACCTCTATTAAAATCGGTCCAGTATAATTTCTAAAATAAATTACTTGATAGTAAAAACCTCATTCATATTAAAACAAATAAAAATCAATTATGAAAATAATTACAAAAATATATAAATATCATACCAATTATTTGTAAAGATATGATGTAAAAATTCATAGTTGGAAAAATGTACATGTTTAAAACTAATAAAAAAACATAACGTGTGAAATAAGGTAATAATTAAACATAATATCTATTTATTTATAACAAAAAATCTTAGGAAATATTAAAATAGATACCTACCAATATTAACTAATATGTATAGTAAACCTACGTTAGCGATGGGTTTATTTTTAAAATATTTATGTATATAATTTGTATCTTGGGGTAGATGTAATAAGTGAAAATGAAATAAGATGTAGTGAATTGCTTAACAGAAAAAGTCACTAGAGCGAGGGTCGTTATAAATACAGTCGATTACGGCACCGAGGTGTTATCATTTTTTTTTATCAGTGTTATCACATAATCTAATAGTATCACCCATATTAAATATTATAATATTATATTTATATATTCAATTATAATTTGGTAATTAACTCAATAAAGTATAATAATAATTATTAATTAATAAGTATAAAAATCAATTAAGTTTAATACTGCTACCAACAAAACGTAGTTCAACAGTGTTATTGGATTTACCGAGAAACCATAAAAAACCTAAAACAAAAGACTAACTTGACGTAATATTGTCCTAATTTGTATTTATTATTATGATTTTTAATTTTATACCTAAAAAATTACTTGATTGATTTATTGATTTATTTTAAAAATTGACGACCAATAGCATTATTATTATTATACTTAATTGATTTTTATACTTATTAATTAATAATTATTATTATACTTTATTGAGTTAATTACCAAATTATAATTGAATATATAAATATAATATTATAATATTTAATATGGGTGATACTATTAGATTATGTGATAACACTGATAAAAAAAAATGATAACACCTCGGTGCCGTAATCGACTGTATTTATAACGACCCCTAGAGCGATGACACTATCTATATAGTTTCAGATGTGGAGTTTAAGAGGGGGGAGATAGAGGCTATGTCTCTATTACACATCAAAAACTACCTATAAATAATTTCTTTCAGAAATTATTATAGAAGTTTGGTGTGTTTATAAATTATAATGGGCATAGCCATTTTCGACCAAAAACGTACCCTTCACTTTTCAGCCGATTCACATTTCGATCAAAAAAAAAGTTTAATATAAAAATAATATTAATGTTATTGAAAAATGAAAAATACATCATAGATGATCAAAACGGACAACTTGACAAATACAGTATATAGCTATGCTTTATAATTACCTAAAAGTAAATATTTGTATACTTTTATATTTGTAGGTATGATTTTTTTAAGTTAGTTTCAAATAACTACTATAAAAAGTAGTGAACCAGCAACCTAACCTAAACAGTGCTAACAAAAGTGAGTAAAGAAAAATGAATTATGACAGGTATGAATATTATTATGATTATATTATTATTAGTATTTTATACAACTTATACATTTTTTAATATTTTTTTATGATAATATGTATAACATAAAGACTTATATTATATAATTATTATCATTATTTATTTGTAACCTACAACTATATTTAAAAATAACTAAAAAAAATTATTTTTTCTATATAAAGACTTATAATTATTATTTAATAATATTTTTTTGGTCGAAATGTGAATCGGCCGAAAAGGGAAGGACACGTTTTTGGTCGAAAAGGAAATCAACCTTTTTCAAAATTTGGTCGAAAAGTGTCTCGCCCATTATAATCACGGTGTCAAAAAAGTTATGCTATCACATTATAAATGGTCAGTGATCACACTAATTGACATCTGCAGGTCATATTGTTAATAATACAATCTTTATTATCTTTATAATTTTAGCACTTATTCATTAAATTATTTTATTGAATTTTCTAACTGTATTCCGAATATCTACTACTACTGTTAAGTTTATTTTAATACTGCTTTACTTTTGCAGTTAGATTAAAACATGGTTGCAGTCAAAAATGGGTCAAGAAAAAGTAGTAGGGCTGGCACTACTTAATGTTCATAAAGAGTACAATATATCATTTGAAAATATAACTAATCAATTTGCAATGAAGAAAAGAAATCTAGATTTTGTATTGTAGACAAACATATACATTTGTTTTTATTTAATATGACTATATATTATATATTTTTACCTACAAATTTTATTATTGCTGCGATACATGTTTTCCCCTCTATATAAACCTTAAGTGGGTAAATAATTAAAAGTAGAATTTTTGGACCAAAAGGATATTACCCTCTCTCCCATTTTCACCGTTTAGAATATTATCATGAAACCAATTATTTTTAAGCTGTCTCGGAGATCTTCAAGCATTATGTTTAATTTTTTGTGAACTATTTGAAATTAATATTTTAAACGGGCGGGATCCGTTTTTCCCAAAATCAACCTTTCCCGTTTCGCCCAGATACCCGTTTCGACCAAAGCCATTTTAGCCGTTTTAAAATTAAGTTGGCAATGGTTTTTTAATAAAAAATTTTATTATAATTCACCATCAATTATGAGTTAGTTAAATATTATACGTAATAACATCCAGATAGAAACATACATAAAAATGAATAGTGTTGAAATTCAAAAAAAAAAAAACAAAAGAAAGATAAGAATATAATAAAAAACGTATACTTTTATATAGATCTGGGGAAATTACTAGATATGAATATTTATTAAAAACATGTGTAAAAATTTCAAAAAATAATAATTTGTAGTTTGATGACTTTTTATAAAAATGATTTATTATTATATTAAAATAAACTATAAAAAAGAAAACAAAATATTAAGTGTAACCGCTGGGTTACTTCTTTTTTTTGTGTAACTCATGTCTTTTTTCCTCTTTATGTTAACACATAATTTTATTGTAAAAATTTTTTTTATAGATTATATATTTAAAAAAAAATAAAAAAAATTATATTAATTAAAAACCATTGCCAACTTAATTTTAAAATAGCTAAATTGGCTTTGGTCGAAACGGGAAAGGTTGATTTTGGGCGAAACGAGCTCCCACCTTTTAAACATAAGTATAGATACGTGTTAATGGCTTAGTTATGGCTAGGTAAGACGATGGTTAATAATTTTAATTGTAATATAATCTAAAGATATCTCAGGACAAGAAACAAGACATAGAAAAATATCAATATGGTATGCGAGGACTTGGATTGATTTACTTTGAATCACCATTTTTTGTACTAGACAGTCATGCGAGCTTAATTTTTATAGCCACATGTAAATGCTTTATAAATTGACATAATAATCTATTTGATTATACAACAGTTAATTATGATAGTATATAAATTCATGATTTAAACTTTATAATACATAATATATCAAAAAATATAATTATTTATGAAAAAACTAATTCAATAACAGTTTAGTATATTTATATATAAAATACAGACTCTATAACTATTCATCGTGTGAATCACAGTAAATGTAAATGTAAAATATATATTGTCGAAAATCATTATCATTCAACAGCACTTCCTATTAAAATTATTTATCATTACTTATGTAAAACCACTCGTGCGAAAAAAATTCGCAAATGATGATATTACAATCTTTCATAAAGAGAGTATAATATATTATGTATTTAGTAACTTATACACTGTATAGTTTAATGCAGTTTTTGTTTATTTTTTAGCTTAATTTTATAACACTTTAAGCTTAGTCTAAAAATTTAAAAATATATACAATGTTTATAAGTAATCCTATAGTATAGGACCTATACTGTAACTAAAAAGTCTAAAAAATACATGAACACGATTTACTTTACAGACATTTTAAGTTCAAATTTGGATATAATTAGATACTTAAACAGAGAATAACGATTTTATATTGTTATATATACCCGTTTACAAACAATGAAATGTTTAAATTCAATTATGCGTTGACTAAAATTAATTTATCCTACCGTAATAATAGAAGAATACATTACTATGACACCAATATAATTGTATTTAATAATAATAGGTATAGGCTGAAAAATGTCTTCACTTAAAATTGTTTTTTGGACGAAATAATTTATCAATGAATTCAAATTAAACATAAACAATATACATTCGAGTTACTTACTCTATAAGACAAGGTAGATACATTTGACACATGCTGTACAATAAAGCGGTTACCTACCTACTTACCTTCTTTTTATTAATGTATTTTAAATAACTATCGTATATATCATCTAATAGATCTTATTTGTATTACTTATTATGTAATATATTTTGAGTATTATATTTTCAATAGATAACAATGTAAAACAGTTAAATCAATTTCGTCACTAAAACAATACATACACGCTTAAAATATTTTTAAAAATTCTCTTTGGTTCTTACCTTAAGATTATGAGCAATTTGCTTTATATAAAACATTTCCATGTCTTGTATAACATTAGGTTTTCCACTGGTTTGATTCCCGGTGGTCTCCAAATAAGCGGAATTTCGGCGTTTATCTTTCAGTGTTAGAGCGGCTAATGGCGGGAAACACGAATTCATGGCCGATGGTCGAATTTGACTACTGTAAAAGGGACGTATGGAATTTTACACTTTGGCAGAAACAAATGCGGAGAGAAAATTATTAAATCCTGAAGTGGATCTGATCCAAATCAGCAATGTCTCTCTCTATTTTGGTCGTCGCCATCGTCATGCGTCGACTCGTTGTAACGTCTAACATATTATTATATCCTATCGGTCAAAACTATGGTATATGTATTACTTATATACTTAAGCATAAAGAAATAATGGTTCGCATGAGTTACCAAAAACAAAAATTAAAACGTCGACAAAAGAAAGACGCTCATTCTTCTTTGATCACAAAGGGCACATGCCGTGCTTATTATGCATTCTACAATAAACATTTAGAATAAGTTATAATCATTTTTCTTCGCACTATTATATACAAGATTTTTAAAACAAAATGTTGAAATTCTAAACCACATTTTTCATCGTACTGCATCAAGATTATGGTTTTATAAGGATGTACAAAAACATAAAATTATATTTAGATGTACACAAAAGAAAATTTAGAAAAACACATGGTCCGTAAAAAAAAACAAAAGATTAAGGAAAAAAATAGACAGAATTATAAAATTTTAATAATATTAGTTTAGTGAAACGAACAACTGTTAAACTAAAAGGTTTAGAAATATTATCCTTATAATACCTCACAATACAATATAAATTATCGGTTCTCATTATTATTACCTCAATAAACAACGAAATACAGTATTTATACTTACGTCTATGTTAATAATATATAGAAATGAATTAGGTATATATCAAACCATTCAAATCTAACAATAACGACTTCTTTTTTACATAGATACATACTGTACATGGATCACATTGAGCTTAGTACATCAAACTTTAGCTTAGTTAACAAAAAAATTATTTATGTTAATATATTGTTTGCTTATTGAATAGAGATAAAAAAATAAAATGTCATAATATCAGTTATTATTCAATAATAAAGTATGTTGTTGACATTTTCGGGTGACCTACATACCTTTAGATTGCTTTGTCGTTTCAGTACTGATTTTCATATTCCTAAAGTTTATTAACAACTATTGAACTGCATATCAAGGCGATGTTTAATTTAATCTAATTTTGTTTTTAATTGATCAAATAATTTGTAGTTTAGAGCTTCTAAGACAAAACGGCTGATATTTGTTAATTTTTGCACGCAATTAGTTGTCTGGGGATCGAATCCTCAAGGAACAATACGTGTATCAAATTTCCTAGTCCAGCGTCCTTCTTGTTATTCATGAATTATTATTATGAATATGACTTCAGACTTTCTAATTTATTTTTAAAAACTACTAACGACAATTTGAATGCCACTAAAATAGTATGAAATTAATAACAGTTATTGTATTTATTCGGCCAAACGGATAAAATACATAAATGCTAGAATATGAATCTTATATAAAATATATAAGTTTTATGATCCACTTATTATTTATTTTCATTTAATTTGAAATGATTATTACAGTTAAACATAACTAAAATTAAAAATGATTAGCATCAATATATAATAGTGAATTGATGACTTTTTAAAACTATAAAAATTATTGTTATAATCTACTTATCTAACAAAATGTTATTAAAATAAAATGCATCTATTTACGAGAAATGATAATCATACCATATTTTTCAACAAATACTCTTGTTTCGTATGAAATTAAGTTTAAAACTTGACATTTAACTTATTAATATCGATTATATCGGTTACGAAGACCCTTAAGCCAATTTAATGATTTGCAAAGGACGCTAGATAGGATTATACTATACTATAAAATCTTAGTTACAAATTTAGTTACATGTTTGGTTAAAAAATATATATTATATTATTTTATGTGTAAAAATAATAATTATACTCAATATTTCTATCTTAATTCTCAATCTAAAAATATTTTAACAATATATTGTTACGCCAATGATTAACGTAAAATAAATTCGGAACAATCTTCTACACGTGTTTGCAGTTACTGAAATGATAACATGATGGTATAATAATATACATTACAGTAGAGAGAGAAATATAAAAGATAACATTTAAAAGCTTTCGGTCATTAAGTCAAAATACAAATCACTAGCAGGCATAGGAAAACAATAATGAACTTGTAAACATATAAATCAAATACGATTCTTAAAGACAGTATAGTAATATTTTTAAGGTTTTGCCGCCCGGGTTTCGTTCGCTTTAGAAATGTCACGCGAAAACCGGTTCCGCACCTTTCACAGAGTATTGAGAAATATAAGCAAAAGAGTTTAAAACAATCAAATGGGGCCCATGTAACCTTAAACAATATTTTATCATAATTATTAATTATACTATATAATAAAAAGTATATAGTATAATTTTGAAAACTTAAAACATTCGAGTCAAACGCGCGCCATGTATTGCCCCTTCAAATATATATTATTTGGTGTTAAACAATTAATGATTGACTTAAGAGTATTAATTTACACTTAATAAAATACATTTGTTGACGGGCAAATTATTATCTACAGCAATATATGATAAAAAAATAAACTTCTATCAAAAAAATATTTATAGCTATTTTTTTATATTAGTGCCTACTAAAATTTTAAGAAATTGATAAATTGTTTTATTTATAATATATGCATATATTTATAACTTAATACACACACATATATATAATATAAGAAGCAAGAAAACATGATGAACAATGTTACCTTACGATTGAGCAATATTACAATTCTTGGATTTACATTTTAACGTCTATCATTCAGCATACATTTTATATAAATCATCGAAATAATTAAATTATAATATATCTAAAACCTATCTAATATAGCCACGCATTTTCAATGATAAAACTGTCGGTCCTCAGATCTTTTGCTAATCATGATAAATGTAGAAGAACAAAATAAAAAAAATCCAAAATGTGTTAAAATACAAACGATAGAGGTTAAATAATAAAAATTCGATAAAACCTAATATTCAGTTACGAATCGCGATTATCATCATATATTTATATCTACACCTCCATAACAATTAATTTTAATCACCTTTTTTCTTACATACAAACGCACACGCTATACATATACGTATATATTATATACACGGTAATAGTATAGTATGCTGCGACAGTGTATAAATCACTCGAAAAACGTCACTTAATGTTTAACACACTTGAAATCTCAGCCGATAGAAAATGTATTAAACGTTCCTGTCTGGTTAAAGTAAAAACTTACATCGTTAACTATAAAGTAACGACTTTAATATGATCTTACCGCATATCATATGTTCATATTACACGAGTTGTTTTCGGTGATAACGTCAAAAGAGAAGGGATATTGCGAGGGTCTTAAATGTATAGAAGGGAGTAAGTTATACGTAGGTTCACCACGAATCGACTCTAAATCAACGAATACCCAGGTAGAGGGAGGGAACGTAAACAACGCATACGACTGATTTCGTAGGAGACTTCGGCGACGACGCACAATAGATTAAAATACATATTATCCAAAATATTGCAGGTGATTATCTTCAACATTTTTTCGACCAAACTCGTGACGAACTTACATAATATTCAAAGCAGGACATCAATAAGTGATACGACGGCGGAGAAGTCGGTTTCCGTTTATCAAATAATATAATATGACACTTTATTATGATACTTTACTACTACACTTACATTTCACACACACAAAATAGGTGCAGCGGACACTAGCACGAACGCACGACTACGGAGCTACGCGCGAGGGCCAATGTCGGACGCGGCGTGGGTTATTTTTATTCGGTACACAATACGCGACCTGCCGGCCGACGCCAACACTAATTGCGCGGCGAAGGAAACGATGATGTCACCGCTCACGGTGATTGAAGATCAACGATGATGACTATCGGATGCAAAATATCATGTGAGATGTGACATAATATTATCTGATCAGGTAGAAGGTTCTTGCTGGTACATATAATTTGCACATAATCCTCACAAAAAAACAAATGTCAAATTTACATTTTCACGTTTGACAAGTAGGTCGATTATGTTTTGGAATAATTTCTTATACTTTTTAAATTAATAAAAAATTTAATTTGGGTTTCTTTTAAAATCAATAGTGTTTATTTTTAGCCCAACTTGTCTCATTTTGGAAATAAAAATATTTCGATTAATTATAATGTGTATTCAGTATAACTTAATAAGTTACAACATATCTTTTGTCCATAAGCATCAAAATATTTCAATTTTGGAATAAAAAAAGTATCATAATAGAAAAAATGGCGAAGAGTTCTCCACAAACTCTGATAACGAGTAAATAAAAAACTTTTATATTTGAATTGACGACTTAATCGAACACAGGTTTTGACGATTTAAAATATTTATGAAAGATAAAATATACTATAAAGTTAAGTGCTCATCCTCCTCGTTCTAATGGTTATAACTCCTTTTCCCTTTAACTAAGTATAAAATGTAGCAGAGTTCAGAGAACCAAAGACACTCGATCAGTTAAATTTTTGACGATTGTAAAATCAAGTCTAAAAAGCTAAGCCTTATACATTTTTACTTTTATATCATACGTACATCGTCTTATACTAGCATCTACATTTAATACGTATAATCATATTCATATCAAGAATTAGAGATCAAACTGAATTTTTTGAATTTGCGAAGCTTTTATATTATTTGTAAATAATTACAACCAATCGATTAAAAATTATTAAAAGAATTTGGTAAGAAATCTTTAACAAAAAAGAATAAGTTTAAAAATAAAAATATAATTAAAAAAAACCCTGTTTGTATTATAATTTATTAGAATACATTTTATATATATATTCAATTAAATTACTGAACCTAATCAACATTGAACTTTAAATTATAACATGAAAACAGAGATACGAGTATATTATATTAAAGAAGTTATGAAAGTTTTTTTTCTTGTAAATTAACTTAAATTTAATAATATGCATTTTTTCTAAAATGACCAAAGTGTAAAAACATAAAAGTAATGGATATTTTATTTTATGATAATCAATTTAAACTATTTAATATATAATTATGAAAATATTTAGAAATATTTATTTCTAATAATTCTAAAATTTGAACCATGCTAATCATGATTGATGAATGACAATTAATTAACTTTATTATTTTAACACGGATAAAAATACATTAATTCGATTAAAATTAATATTTATTATCTGTATGATTTATAATACAATTAATTTAACGATTGGTTCACTAATAATTAATTATTGATCCAAGTACATAAAAAATGTAGGTACAATAATAATTGTATTTATAATACTATCAAAAACTAAAGAATAATTTTTGTACCTACTAAAAATGAAACATCAGTGTGACACACAATCCACATTCATATTAATAATTATTAATTAATATCTAAGCATCAAAATTATAAACAAAAAGTATTCAAAATTTAATATAGACAGTAAATTATACATTCATGGTGATGCAATAATACGTTTAGTGCATACGAATGAGTTCACACCTGCAGCAATAAAAACAGCGGAATGCTATAAGCCTAAACCAAACTAAATTGTTTTGGTATAAATTGTAAAGACTCGAGACATTTTTAAGTTATATCGAGATATTTTTTTATAAATATATATTATAAATGAAAAAAAACATATCATAATACTTTATAAAAAACGAATAAGAATCGATGTATAATATTAATTAAATTACGACAAACTAAATGCTGCATATACCTGATATAACATAAATTAACACTACTAGGTATACATTTTATTTTATTATCTTTAATAAACTAATCTAAACCTAATGTTTAATTATCATAAAATTAATTTAAATAATTTAAATTACTTACGTAAAAATCGTTGAGTAATTCCATACGTATTTCATGTGAATTTATTCATTTTATTATATATAAAAATGTTCTTCTTCCCAAATACTTATAAAATTAAAGTGTCTAATCTATAATAAATTAAAATTATATACGAACCAGACAAAGTGTAATAAAAAAAAGAGTTCTATTATTAATTTATATATAATAGTATACATGAGGTAAAATAATCATACATTAACATTATGAAATAGTTAAAATATATTATCAGATAAAATTATAATATTTTATGCACGATACTACATGATACTTTAAATTTTAATAAACGCCCGTTTAATGAAAATTAGAAACTCTCGAAAAATATATTATTTAATTTTTAAATATTTATACAAAATCAATTAATTGCTCCAAGAGATAAAATTAGTTAATAATTATATGATAAAAATTTAAAAATTTATATAGTTTAATCCATATTAGTCAAAAATAAAAAGAATATATTATGTTCTACATATTTACAAAATGAAAAACTAACTATTTATATTCAAAAATATGTATTTCATGTTAACTTATATCGAAAAGTACTGGTTAATAGCCAGATATAACCATTTTTAGTTTTTACCCTTAAACGTGTTTCCCAATCATATTTCATAAAAATTGACAGATATATGTTCCATAATTCCAAGAATAAGGGTATATTAGAGTTCACATAAACTGAATAAACAGTGGTACTAACAATAAGTGCCAAAACAGATGTAGTTTTAAGAGGACCTATACACATGCCTGTGTTGTTTCCGTCTTACAAATGCTAAAGCAAATTTGCGTTCAATAAAATAGATTTGATGTTGTTAACTTTAATATTAAAAGTAAATTGACTCATCATAATAAAACTTAAAGGTTAAAACAAACCTATTATCTATTGTCGGGTTTTTACGATATTTAAACGTATTTATTATTTATTTATTGAAATCCTGATTTTTAAATATTTAAAAAAATTTAAAACCATATTACTTTTAATTACTTAAAATTATATTATATACACATGCTATTTTAATAAATGTTCTATAATGATAAAAACGTATTTTTTCAATATATGAGAATCGTCGTTTTTTGTAAATTGATGATTATATATTACACAAACTTCAATATTTCAAAAATAATTATTATTTCAAATTTCGAATTAGATACACATTAAAAAAAAAAAATTATCCACCTACTTAACAAGTTACAATGTTATTATTTGAATGTTAGCAAGGATGTATAGCCGTGGTTTGGTATGCTCCCACGTGAAGCATAAAAGTAAGCAATTACATACGTGAATTTCTACACGAACAAAAATACATCAATATGTATTTTCCTGCAGGGTGATAAAATTAAATGCATTACTTTTTGTACTGACAAGTGCCATACCATATCTACTATCTAGCATCCCAAACTATCTAAACTTATTTTTATTACCTATGATACGATAGACACGATATGGTATGAACAATCCATTTCGTTAAGTTTAATACTCGTTAATAATTTAATTTTTACTATTATTATTATTATTTTGTATACGACATATAATACATGGATTAAACTAACATTACATAATATGTATGGGTTGGATTTAATTGAAAAATGGATTAGATTTTTTTATGCAACACTAATACAAACAAAATTTAACCACACCAACTATACATTTAAGTTGTCAGTAATAAGTCTGAATAAAGAGGGAAAGAAATTTATATTTGTTAGGTTTTTGGAACCTACGTACAGGTGTATTTATTTTTTTTGTGCTATAACTATTGCATATCCGTGAGTCCTTTTTACCAGCTACATCTCATAAAGGAATTTACATTCATCCACATGGCAAATCACACTGTACTTACATATATTAACTTTAATATTTTATTATTATACAATATAGTTAATAACTTACACATTAAAATAATAAAAATAAAAAATATTATTTATTTTATTGAGAAATAGTATGTCATTTAAATATTATTTTAGACGATTATTTTTAACAAAAAAAAAAGTAATATTTACTAAATTATAATAATCGAAAACGACTTGCCCTAGAATAAACATAATATATGTACAATTTAACGTGCTTATTCATAAATCCAGTTTTGCAGCCACGGACCAAAAATGTATATTTTTAAATTACCATCAATCATAATAACAGTATAAAGTATGGACTATTTTTCTGTATTATTATTGTCCATAAAAGCCTACATGATAAGCTGTAATAATAGACTACAAAATATAATTGCTGGTATTTTAAATATATCTACCTATAAAAATATTTGAAACGTTTTATTATGTACAAAACTTGTCAGAATTGAGTGATCTGTAATTATTAAGACCAAAATACATTTGTTTGATAACAGACAGAGCCAATCTCTACTACAATCAAGTTTTCGTAATCACTCACATGTCATAATAAATAAAACTATACATTATTTTTTTTCTTTAGTCAAATTTAATACGACAGTCATATTTAGTTAAATCGTAATTGGTAAGTTATTATTTACATTTTATGAATTACTCCTAGAGAATTTATTTATGCACTATTTTTTATGGGTATACATATAAGATATTATATGGTAATTTTTATAAATAACATAAAAATTAAATTTAGTATAACAATTTTCTACAATATTCATCTTATATATCAAAAATATTTATTATGTTTCAATTAAATCGTACAATTATATAATCCAAAACAAAACTTAACTTTTAAATTTAAAATTTTAATTAAAAATAGAGACGTGGTGAACGACGTTCCCCTAATGCAATTGCTTAGCCCTAGAAATTTATTTTGAATTAAATTTTAAAATTTATGTAGTCGAATGTACAATTATTATAGTATATTATTTATTTATTTATTTTTTATTATTATTATTAAATTGTTAATGCTCTATAACAAAAA